TGGTAGAACCAGTCCCTGTGCCACAAATCAGGCCTTTGGGGGTCACACACTGTTATGCAATCTTTTCTGAACCTCTAAATAGAAAGCTTGATCTACAGTCTGACCTGGTGGAACAAACTCCAAATGCACTGTGAGTCGACATTTTCATCCATTCAGGAAGTTAATGGATGTCCAGAACAAGGTTTGTCATCAACTGACATTTTACCTTCTTTGAAACGAGAAAACCACTTGCACACTTGAGTTTTTCCCATAGCACTGTTCTTGTATGCCGTGTTCCACGTCATATCAGTTTCTGCAGCATTTTCCCCGAGAAGGAAACAAAATTTCACAGCCGCAATCGGTTCTCTTAAACCAGCTATCACACACACACACACACACACACACACACACACACACACACACACACACACACAAGGTTTGAGTAGAACTGCTTTTATGAAAAAATGCACTGTGACCAGAGAGAACCTTCCCAGGGAACACCACTAGGGTGCACTAACTCAGAGTGAGTTGCTGGATGCTTGCCTAGCAGGAAAAATAAATGCTGCACCCGTTTTGGGGGGTGTACCCTCGTGCGTGTGCGTGTGTGTGTGTGTGTGTGTGTGTGTGTGTGTGTGTGTGTTGTCATTAAGTCGATTTTGATTTGTGATGGCTCCATGAGTGTCAGAGAAGAACTGTGCTCCACAGGGTTTTAATGGATGTTTTGGGTGTTTTTTTGTTTGTTTGTTTTTCCAGGTGTAGATTGCCAGGCCTTTCTTCCAAGGCACCCTTGAGCGGACTTGAACTTGAATCTTCTAACAGCTGAGAACTTAATACAGAGCAGATGTTTAATCATTTAATGGCTTCCTTTATCACTCATTATTGCTGTGATTACTTAAAAACTGCTATTACTATGTTATCTCCAGGTTTTCACATCTATTTTTGAAACAAACCAATCTCTCCCTGTTTCTTCTCCCTGGCTCCTCTGGTTCCTACTGGTCCCACGCTGCCTCCTAGACTTTAGGGACGGAGGAGTGTGGCCAGAGAGCAGTGGTGTCCCCCGTGGGCCTCAGTGCTCCTAGAGCCTTTGACCTCCTGCCAAAGAGGTACTGAGCTTCTGCTGAGGGACAATCAAGGTATCTTTTGGTACCCTGGGTGCTCCAAGGGAGCTCACCCCCCTGAGCGTGAGGGGAGCACACCTCCAGCTCCCCAACTCTGTGTAGGACACTCAAGGTCAGCGGTCTCACACTCAGCCTCTGAATCTCACTGGATATGCAAAGTGCTCCATCCAGAGACCCACTGTGCAGCCTGCCAAGCACAGGCTGTTGAGTCCAGCCCAGAGGAGACCCTGAGCATCGCCTCGGACCAGTTACAATACAGCGTGTTAAGCGGCGGTTGGAACCCATGCTCAAATGACACCTTTTCTGAAATTGCCTCTGAAGTACTCCCAGAAATGCACTCCCTGTTCACTTTTGACCTTTGTCATGTATTTCTAAGCCGATTGACATCACGGCTCTGCCACATATTATAGCCCTGTGACACTGAGCCAATCCTTGGGTTCCTTGAACTCCACTCTCTCCCTCTGAATCTGCTGTGGGAACTAATGCTGCACAGGCTTCCAGGGACTTGCCGGATGAAGACAGACTAGGATCCAAGGGCAGGTGGCCTGTTTCCAAAAGTCAGCCCATAGGAAGTTGAAGCTTAGTTGTACGCGCCTCCAATAAAATGATTTTAAAAAGAAGGAGAAGCCAAAGCCTATGGATCTGAATGTGGGGAAGGCACGGGGCCGGGTAGCATCCATGAATCAGAACCAGCTCAGTGGCAGTGAGGTTGGGTTTGGTGCCTGGGGTTGCCCTGGTAGCTGATGACCACAGCATACAGCTCGTGCTTGATCCGCAGGTTCACGGAGAAGACACCAGCCGACACAACACCTGTGGTCCAGATGAAGCCCGGGAAAGGCTTCCATCCAACACCAACCCTCGGAACCACCGCTGTCTGCGTTCCTGCTTTCATTCCCAGGCCCAACAACCGTGGTTTTCCGTGTTTGCAGGCATCCCACTTCTCTTTGGTCATGCAGCCCACCCTGGGGACGGTCTTTCTAGACATCTGAGCTGCAGGCTTACGGCTGGAGATCCACCGGCCTCCGGAGTTGGGTTTCCTGCATGTTTTAGGCCTTTTGCCATGCCCCTCCCTTGGGAAACAAACCGATCATCTTCTAACACCTGCTTAGCTTGTCATCCGAGCGGAGCTCTGTGGTTTGATCACCACATTTCCACTCAGTAGGAGCTCCTCCACCACCCTCAGGGTTTGGCCCAGTGCCTCTTCTCAAAGGCCTTGGGTATTCCTGCCCCTGATGAAACTTCCCGCGGGAGGAAGATGAGGCTGCCTGCTTCTGTAGACGTGTGCGGCCTTGGAAGCCCTCAGAGGGAGGGCACTTCCCCTCTGTCCCATCAGGTCACAAGAGTTGGAATTGACTTTGTGTTGGTGGTGTGGGATATTACGCTTCCAAGAGTGCTTCCCGTCCTCTGGCTCATTTCATTCCCACAAACCCTCTGGAGCAGGGGGCTGGCGTGGCCTGGACGTGACTATTCAGAAAGCAGAGGCTCAACACTGTTAAGCAGAGGAGAGAGCTGGAATTGGAACTGACTCTGTGGCTGGCTGATGCCATTTGCCTTGCTCTGCTTCTTTCTCTGTGTCCTTGGGGCTTCTGGATTTGTGTTCTAAGGTAAACGGAGGGACTGGATGAGACTATAACGCAGCTAAGTCCTCTACGCTCATAATTATGGGTCTGGAAAGCCTCCACTCTGGTGGAGGAAGCCCCTTACAGTTATGAGATATACATAAATCTTAATACACATTCTCATGACTGGACACACAGTCCCTCTAATACCCCCCCCCACCCCCCCACCCCCCCAGGAACTGTCATAAAGGAGCTACCATAAATGACACAAGAGGAATCATTCTTGTGTCTGGCTGCTCCCTGTGCCTGGAGGTTGTTTGTAGATAAGAACAATCAGGTTCTATAGCCCAACCCACTGTAAAATGTAGCAAACTCTTTGGATAAATCATTCCCCTGGGGAGGGCTCTGGGGTGTCCGAGGTTAACTGACACCAGGTCAAGATGGTGATTCAACTCAGTGCTTGTTTATTATGTTACCCGCTTGTGATATTACCCATCAACTATGGGAAATGTTCTCTGTATGACCTGTATGCCCTTGAAAGAGCTCTAGGCCCCATTATACATACCCATCAGAAATTACATTCACTCTCTTGGTCCTAGTGGAGGGACAAGGAGCCCCTGCACCCCGCTGTCTATCTATCTGTCTCTATAATTTTCCCCAATTGCAAAGTTGCTCCTGAGGACATGTTCGACTGTGGGGACCCCCTCAATCCACAGTATTCCACAAAGAACCATTCTCTACCCCTTCAACAAGATTGCAGTTATTTGCCTCTTGGCTGCTCCCATTCACTCATCCCTTCTCGAACTGTCCACCTGCCCCCTGTCCTGCCTGCCCTGCGCCTGTGCATCTGCGCTGAGAGCACCTGTCTGCCTGGCCCTGGTGAGGGCACTGAGCCCTGGGGGTCAGCTGCACTCCCTGCCCAACAGCTAGGGCTCATTGCCATTGAGCACAACTGACTGGGTTGTTCAAAAGAGACCCAAGGCCAAGCCAGATAGCCCATTGATTGGGATCCATCTAAGGCATTTTAAAGCAGTTTTATACTCTCATGACGAATTGGATGTAGCCAATAGTCAGAGGCCTGACTGATAGAGGGATGAGGAGCCCCTGGGCCCTGCTGTCTGTCTGTCTCTATCATTTCCCCCAGTTGCAAAGTCGCTCCTGAGGACCCATCTGCAGTACACTGTGGACGCCAGTCAGACTGTTTCCCACCCTCCCCTGTGCAGTCATAACTAACCCTCCCTCCATTCATCCTGCTCTGCCTTCCCCAGCCCTGACACAGGATGTGGTCAGTCCACTGACCTGTACTGCAGAGACTCGCGTTCATGGACCAGTCACCCGACTCCTCCTCCTTAGAGGAGTCCCCACTCTGGATCAGGGTGGGGCAAGAGACTGAGGCAGCAGTGTGGATCTCTGGGGAGCATGTCCACTCAGACCATTGCTTAAAACCACTTCTCGCGGTGCCTGCCATTCGCCACACCAGGAACAAAACATCCCGATTGAAGCCTAGAGAAAGCTGGGAGTCACCGCTCCCCCAGCCCTTGCCCAGCATGGGGTCATTTAGCACCAAATTATACAGAGCCCTTAGTGGACCACCCCCAAATGGATAGCTTATGGTGGGGGCTGGCTTTGATTAATGTTCAAATTCTTAAAAGTAAATCTCTTAAGAAACATCTTTGGAAGTTAAGACCAATTTCAGGCCGTTATGTATTCCCTGTGCACAAGGCAGATATTGGGTCTTCACCCATACCTTTTGAATTGCCCGATTCTGGATCTCTGAGAGACAGTCCTCATCTTTTGAGCACAAAAAATGGACTTCCGCTATATTGCATTTCAGGCAACCACTTAGTAATCGCACAGTACTTGACAGCCTAGAAAATTATCACCACCTCAGTACTGATCCTTTCATGAAAGGAGACCAAGACTCTGTAGGTAGAAATTTTGCCTTAAAATCATACCCATTAATTCCTGGACTAGACTAGTGGTCTTCTGACCCTGAATCCAGCGGATTCCCCATCGCTTCTTCCTGTTTTCTCACCATCCTAACGAAGTCAATACGGAACATCATTCCATCGTGAAAATCATTTTAGACTAAAAATAATCCCTTGACCATTTCTTTGTCGATGAGGTTCCCACGAGTCTGACAATATGAATCACTCTTCCACAAACTTTGTAATTACCACTAGGTCCATGCCAGAATTAAGCCTAATTGAAGCCTCTTCACACCGAATCAGATGGGTGCTGGTACTTTGGACTTGAAACAAACCATGCCTCTGTGGATCCCATCAGAGTCCCAACCCAACAGCAGGCCAGCCCACCCCTGGCCCAACTGCTCTGCCCCACTTACCTGCCTGTGTGGTCTGTGTGGGCTCAACTGTGAAGGGGGTCTCTTGTCCTCTTTAAATAGGTGGAGGCCGGCACCAGCCTTGGCCAATGGAGGAGGCGGGGGAGGGAGGCTGAGGGGAGAGGATGAATGAGACATGAGTAACACAACTGCTATCAGAGGCTGAAAATAGCCTGTGACCAAGGGCCTGAGTTTGGTGTCCCCCCTGCACCCCCGCCCCAACACACACCAGCTGTAAGGCCCTTGAAGAGCAGGATCACTTGTGTTCTATTTTAATTGCCTATGGCACCGAGGGATCAATTTGTGGAATGCATGATTTCCGATCCCGTTGTTGGACTGGGAACAAGACAAAGAAGGAATTCATGCACAGAACCATTTTCCAGGCCCCTCTCCCGCGACCTTCCTGGAAATTGGTACAAGGCACCTGCAGATGAGTCATGAGTCATAGCTGGTAGACTGAAACTCCAAGACACAAGTCTCCTCCCTCGTGTAGAGAAGTAAGAGCTAAAAATAAGAGTGATGGGTGCCTGAAATTATACTTACATAATCTCTTTAAAGAAGCATGGGAGGTGGGGGGGGCTACTAATTCCAGTCCTGCTGTCCTACGAAGAAGAGTTTCCTCCAAAGAGAGTTTTGCATCCCCTTGTTAATCATCTTTTTCCACTTAAGCATTTGAAATGACCCGCATAGAATTTATAATGATGCATCATGACAGTTCTTTGCAGCCCCATGCTTTCTGGCAGTTTCTCTTTGGCTGGCCTGTACACATTTGGGCTCTGAACACGCTTTATGGACTCAGAGGGTTAGAGAGTTCTATGCCTGACAAGAAGACCACTATCTTGTGTTACTTTTAAGAAAGGTTGGCACCTAACTTACCCAATACCAAATAATGAGTCATGGGTAGGGTCCGTAGTGAAATTCAGGTCACCTGTCACCCAGGCAAGGGTCCTTGCTAGTAGAGTGGACCAGGGTGTTGAGGCTAGGTGTCAGTGGCATACAACCAACAGGTTTCTAGAACTCAGTCCTCTAGATGGTACTTTAGCCTTATCAGTGTCCAGTCAACCAAGCAATAGGATGAGCGATGGAATGTTTCACTGAGAAAGATGTGCAGGCCTTTCCACAAAAATGGTTCTAGCACAGCTTGAGATGGGATTCACCATAGAAATAGGGCAATGATGAAACCCCAGAATATAAAAATCACGAAAACTCCAGAATATCAAAGCTAGTAGGGGCCTTAGCCATTGTCCAGGATAGTGACTTATCACGTTGTTCATTCACATTTGACACTAACCTCAGGGTTTGAAACCCCCAGATGCTCAATGGAGGAAGACGAGGCTTGCTACTCCTGTAAAGAGCTACAGTCTTGGAAACCCACACGGGCAGTTCTACCCTGTCCTGTCGGGTCACTCTGAGTCAGAATTCACTCAATGGCAGTGGGTTTGGTTTTGGTTTGGGCTGTGAGCCTTTCTCCTTTTGAAAGTCACTAACCCCGAACCAAACCCATGATGACTGAGTGCATTTGGATGCATCAAAACCCTGTAAGACTGAGGACTTACAGAAGCAGACTGCCCCCCCG